GCTTGTCCATCGTGCCTACCCAACTAGGTAAGCTCGCGGCATGTCATACTACAGCGGCACGCTTTCAAGGTGCGACTGTTGCTCATGCGGTATCATTACCACAGGGACTAATAGTCCAGCGCAGACCGCTCTACGACATCACAATCTCCAGAAGCGACCTGAAAAGGACGAGCAAATGAATAGACTTCTGTCGTGATCATGCCATTTCATTTTCGCATCTAATCGTAGACTGGCCTATCTACCGTGCCTTCTCATTATCCAATCTCGCCCAGCGTCCACCGCTATAAGACGGGTATGAGCCCTAGGGCTATCTCGTTTCGTGGTGTCGCGTCGTCGGTATCGGGTCCTCTAAGCAGCGGTGGTCTTCTCCTTAGGCAGGGGGGTGAATCGAAGGTAGGGCTTGACAATGCGGATGTCGGGGAACATGCTTTTCGCATCCTCGGTCTTGACGGCTGGGTGAACAATGACGTCGTCACCAGGGATCCAGTTCTGGTACGAAATCAGTATATGTGGCACATGCACTTCGTACAGTCAAAACTTACGATTGGGGTGGTAATCTTGTGCTTGTCGCCAGTCTGCAGGCTGTCGAGGACGCGGAGGACCTCAGCTGTGTTGCGACCCGTGCTGGCGGGGTATGAGAGGATGAGGCGGATGGTCTTCTTGGGGTCGATGATGAAGACGGAGCGGATGGTGAAGGCAATGCCCTTGCTGTCGACGTTGGTCGCGTCCTGGTGGTCGATCCTGTTCATGTCGTTAGCCATGTCGCGAGTCGTAGGTCGCAACGAATCTCTACCTACATGTCGTATGCCAACGCGATCTGGCGGTCCTTGTCGCCAATGATGGGGAACTTGAGCTTGCTGCCGGAGATCTCGTCAATGTCCTTGATCCAGCCATCGTGCGAGTCGACGGTGTTGGCAGAGAGACCGATGAGCTTAGCACCGCGACGGCTGAACTCAGGCTCGAGCTTTGCGAAAGCGCCGAGCTCAGTTGTGCATACGGGGGTGTAGTCCTCGGGATGCGAGAACAGGATGACCCAGTTGTCGCCGATGAACTCGTGGAAGTCGATGGGGCCCTGGGTCGTCTCGGCCTTGAAGTTGGGGGCCTTGCTGCCCAGACGGAGAGGCTCTGGTCGGTCGCTCATTGTGTCTTTTGCGCCCATGTTAGCTCAGGTCCCAGCGATTTGCGCAAACATGCGGGGTGGCGGGGTAGGTCGCAAGCAGCCAACGTACCTGGTTGTGTGATTTAGTGTCTGAGTGGGACTGTGGTAGATATCGAGGTATCTCCTAGTTGTAATTTGGGATGTTGGAGCGGTATTATGAGGGAGAGAAGAAGTTGAGGGGTCGATGATGCCTTTTTGTCCTCTTGTAAGGCCATACACAACATTGAACGACCAACACTTCCAGCTAGCGTATATTGCGCAATCGTCACCTATCTCACGTGAACTCCACCAGAGCTTTTTCTGCCATTGAATTTGCCCACGTCGTTTGGCCACCGGGCGAATCATCGACGCGACATCTCCGGCGGTATCGCATGCCAATTGTTGCCCCTCCTGCCGAGCATTCGTCGCAACTGGAAGCAGGTAGCAGCCAATGATGTTGTTGTTGGTGATTTCTCAGCGATATCCCTACTTGTCAGAATTCGAATAGGCTCCGAAACCATGTCAGAGCGTTTGCAGACGTTCCAGCGACCGATTTGGCGTTTGCTTGATCCAATCTCTCGGTAGTTTTGTGCATCAAATGCGCGCATTGTCGGTTTGCCGTGTGAGATTGGGTGAGCCATATGCACTTGCGACATTGGGGTACAGCAGCCTCCATTGATATCGAGGCGGGATGTTTGGCTGTGTCGCCCGTACGAACGATTGGGGGAGTCGCACTCTTCCAACTATGTGCGCTCTCACAAACATTAGCACCAGCTGGCAGTGCGGAGGGTACGCGAAACTCTTCTAAGGTGGGTAGCTTCACGGCGGCAAGAATTTCGTGACTGCCCGCCTGAACACACACGCCGTTCCCACGCGTCGCGCGAACTCTAATGTCGCGACGTCACGCTTGTGGCAGACACAGCGAGCAGCCACCTGACTACACCTCCATATGTTACACACGCGTCGAACGTCGCTACTCCCTCCTAGTACAGCTTCATATCGGCAACCTCGGCGGGGTCCTGCTTTCTTCTCGCCTGAAGCCTCAAAGTGAATTTGGGCCGATCTTCCGAGCTGGCTCCCTTGCGGCGACTCATTAAGGACACGATGCATATCTGTGCTGGTTATCGCAGGATCGAGTGACGGTGAGGCTGCTTGCTTTTGCCCAGGTGCCGATACTTCCCGCCGATGATGTCGGGGAGCCATTTGCTTGTCCGAGTCGAGATGCCTTTGCTTGAGGCGCGCCAGACTCCTTCCCGCATGACGCACCGGATCTACCCTGTTCTGCACGCGCTCCAGCAGCCAGAGACTTCGAGGCGGCCTTGGCATGTCGGTGTACACGATAAATTCCCAAGTTTACCCCGAAGCGGGACGCCCCCATGCATGTGGGCCTGGAAGATGGAGAAGGAGTCCTATTCCCGACCAATGCAAACGATTTCTACGAATCCCGTCGGGAGAGAACCGGGCGTCCCACACCGTCCAGTTGTTCGTTGGGATGCATATCGGCTACGCCTGTGGGTTAGCGGACCAGACCTAACCGCCGCTTAAGCTATGAAGGTCGCGCTTTTCAGCGTCACCGGGTTGACGCTTGCTTTTAGACTCTGACGCGTTCATTGCGAAATCCTCGACGTAGCTCTTCGACATTGCAATAGAAGAGGAGGACTACATGGCAGCATGAGTGCAAATCCGGAGATCAACCTCCCGAGAGACTCTGAGCTCGGAGAGTGCGCAGATTCAAGAAGCCAAGCGGGAATAAGCATATTGCCGGATATGCGCAGGCCTTCCGCAGAGGAACCGAGGGATCGAAATTCCACAGCGGAACCACATAACGACCCAGAGACAGACTCCCACTATGGAAAACAAAGCACCAGTAGCGAGTTCATACCGCAAGAGAACGTGCAGGACTCAGAAATCGTTTGGCGTTATCTCACATTCGACACCGAACTCCCACACGCGACCACGATATATCCGACTCAAACCGACCAAGAAGCGCCACCTGAACCTCCGAACCTCGTCAAATACACAAACCCTTTCGACTGGTCAGAGACAAGAAAGAGATTCACGATATGTGTCTCATGCATCATCACCGCTCTCACAGCGTTCTCGGCTGGCGCTTACAGCCCCGGTGTTGAGCAGATGACGCAGGAATGGGGTGTCAGCAGTGTTGCAGCGCTGGTCGGCATCACGACCTTCACCACAGGATTCGCTATCGCGCCGATGGTTCTTGCCCCGTTTTCTGAGATCAACGGTCGCCGGCCAGTCTTCCTCGCTTCAGGCATTTTATTCGTCATCTGCCAGCTCTGCTCTGGCCTCACGCAGTCATATGCTGGAATGCTCGTCGCGCGCTTCTTCTTGGGCGTGGGCGGATCTACCTTCTCCACTATGGTTGGTGGCGTGGTCTCAGACATCTACCATGCTGAGGATCGGAACACACCCATGGCCCTATTTTCAGGTGCTGCTCTGTTTGGTACTTCATGGGGACCTTTAGTATGTGGCTTCATCGCGCAGAACACAACTTGGAGGTGGATCTTCTACGTACAGGCCATTTCATGCGGGGCGGTGGTCGTGCTGATCTGTGTCGTATTCAAGGAGACCCGCGGCTCGGTTCTTCTGTCCAGGAAAGCCAAAGCTTTGAACAAGTGGTATGAGGCACGCGAGCAATCCGGCTATTACGGCTTTAATGTCAACAATACCGAAAAGCCAGGATCCATGGAATCCCTGCGTTTGAGGTGGAAGGTGCGATCTGATGAAGAACGAGCATCGCTTGGCAAGATGATAGGCGTTTCTCTCTACCGCCCATTCCATCTTCTCTTCACCGAACCTGTTGTATTCTGGTTCTCCCTCTGGGTAGCCTTCTCCTGGGCTGTCCTCTACCTCACGTTGGCAGCAATCCCACTGGTATTCCAAAACAACCATGGCTTCTCGCTACAACAAGCCAACGCGGTCTTCGCGTCGATGGGAATCGCCAGTATCCTGTCGACCATACTATCTATTTATCAAGAGAAAATCGCAAAGAAGAGCGGGAAGTTGACCGGCACACCAGAAGGTCGCCTTTACTTCGCTTGCATAGAAAGCGCTTGCATGCCCATCGGCCTCTTCATGTTCGGATGGACAAGCTTCCCCGAGATACATTGGGTTGTACCCGCAATTGCGATCGGTATCGCTACCGTTGGCATCTTCAGCATCTACCTGGCGACCTTCAACTACCTCGCAGACACGTATCATCGCTATGCGAGTTCGGCACTGGCGGCGCAGTCTTTTTGCCGGAATATGCTTGGTAAGTCATCTCCATCCGTCACAACTGGATGCATACTAATATCATCTCAGGTGGCATATTCCCACTCATCACGACCCAAATGTATAACAAGCTTGGATATGGTCCTGCGAGCAGTCTGCTTGGCGGGATTGGCGCGTTGTTGACCATTGTGCCGTGGATTCTGGTGTTCTACGGGCCTAGAATTAGAGCAAGGAGCAAGTTCGCAAGTGAGATTATGGATGTCACCTCTTGAGAGGCAAGATGGTGTTTGATAGATATATCGCATAGCAATCCATTGTTCAATAAAAGGAGAAATTCATTAGTGACTGCTGTCGCCAGATGCAAGTAAGCCTTGGCAGCCGAATCGGGTTAGTCAGGCCAGATGTTGCATCATCGCAGCTGTGACCCGGCAAACTGCAACACTTGCACAGCCTCACAAGTCAGCCCTGCCAGCTGCCAGTATCCACGGAAAGATGCGCACGCACACTTCACCTTCGTCGAAATCCATAGAGATGCATGCGCCTTCCCTTCCGGTCTCCACCACAACCTTAAGTGGCGACTAATGGAACTTGCCATAACAATAAGTGCTCTTTCCGCTCGCTCACAACCATGGACGAACTCCTTCCATCTTACGAAAGCGTAATGCGACGCGATCCTTGGGTGCTCATCGCTCCCTATCTGCCCTCTCAAGACCTCTGCTCAGCAGCTTTGGTCAACCGGCAATGGCACCAGACCTTCACACCAAACCTTTGGGGTAGCCCGGCATCGCACTTTGGAGTCCAGAATGATACAGTATACGGTGTGTTACTATGCCACAAAAGCGGTGTTGTATACTGATGTCCAACAGTGGCGCTCACACGGTTCAAGCGTACATTACCTTACGCCCGAGCAGCTGTACGAGAGCTCACACATACTCTACGTTTCCCACCCGCTCATGCAGAGCTGTATGATGGACCGCACGCAGAATGGCTTCGAGACTGTTTGGAACACCTACCTCATCTGCAGTGCCTAATTGTGGACGGCCTACCCTTCTTCGATCACGCATGTCTTCTGAGTCTGCGACACTCAAGCCTGCAATGGAGGTTGACTCGCCCCAACGCATATCCGGTGTTCAGCCTACGCCTGCTAGATGCTTCTAGCTGTACGAATGCTACATCGATGGGCCTTGCAGAAGCTTTACCGCACTTTCCAGATCTTGTCTCGCTGGATCTATCAAAGACTGCAGCCGCGAGAGATAAGGCGGTTCTTTCGACCTTCAAGTACCTCCGAAATCTGCGCGTGCTGAATCTTCGTGGAATTGGCATCAGGGATGAGGAGTTCTCAGTAGTTGCGCATGCAATCAGCAGCCGCGTCAGAAGCCTGGACATCAGCAACAACCTTTTGACGGACACTAGCGTGCGACTCCTTCTTGAACTGTGCTTGAAAGAGAGGGTTGTTGTGACGCATTCTTCTCGTGGACCACTGGCGCCTGTCGAGAACGCGAACCCAACCGATGGACCAGAGACCTTTGAGTCTGAAAACCTCGTGGGCCATCTTCGCAAGAAGCTTACAGGCGGCTTCATCGGCAGCCTAAGCATTGAGGAGTCGAGCGATGTCGGAGTCTCGCACTTGTATCTCTCCAGTAACGCAATAACTGTCGAAGGCATATCGGCTTTGCTGCGATCAAGACGCCTGCAAGTCCTAGATGTGGGTATACTACCCGCTGTAGTAACGCATCCTTCTAACCTCACGCTCGAAACACCGAACGATGACTTGGAACTACCTAGCGTATCAAAGCTTACTCCAGTACTTGCAGAGTATGCTTCATCTAGACTGCGATACCTGCGGATGAACTACGAGTTGGTGACAGAAGACGCCCCTTTTGAAACGCCCAATTCGCCGCGCGCGGAACTCACTGGGGATCTCGCTATCTACAAACCTTCAAATGCGCATGAGCTCGAAGCTGTAGAGCCACCGACACCCGAACTCGACTCCATCCCAATAGCTGTACACGAGGTTACAGGGGACTCATCATATCCGGTTGAGCTTCCCGGCTCACCTGTAACGCCTCAACTCGCTGAAAACGACAGGCCGGAATCGGAATTTGCCGATGGTGAAAGGCGAGACGCCAAAAGCGTTCCTAAAATATGCGTTACTCCGCAACCACTACAGATTAACCGAGATCCTGCCTGCGCTCCGGAAGTCATACCTGTAGACTCGCCATTGAGTCCTCTTAGCCCACTGGGAAACGGGATCTACCAGCCTTACGCAGCTGCAAACAGACATGATCATGGAGAACGCCTTTCATCATCTACGCCGACCCACGGCAGCAGTACACTGGATCAACCGACCACCAAGGTTACGACAAGGTCACGAGGCAATTCGTTTTACTACATCGAGGACAGAAAAGTCCGACTGGACTTTCGCCAAGCAAGTGAACCTCGACTACATCCGGGGATGCTTCCGAAGCTTCACACTCTCGTTCTGACGGACGTGCCGACCATGACCAACGACAGGGAGATTGTTCATCGGATTATACAGTTTATCAAGGATGCAGCCGAGGAGGCTTCAATCGCCAAGCAACGGGCCAGGCACACTTATGTGCTACCGCCAGGACGTAGGCGTGCTATAGCAGAAGAAGAGTACGCACGAAACCAGTTTGCCCTTCGGAGAGTAGTACTTGAAATGGCGGCCCCACAGTCAGCGCCTAAGAAAATCTCTACCAGTTGGCGGGCTTATCCAACAAAGTCAACTACTGAAGATGCGGACTCTGAAGCATTTTGGGAGGCAGCAACGCATGACTTCTCCTTCTTCGACGATGAGGAGTGTGGACAGCCTGGTCGTGAGCCAGGCCGCACTCTGCCCTTGGCAGCTATGAGCGGATTGGAGCTTGCACCTAGCAATCCCGTCTTACCAGTGGAAACAAGTAAGAATGTTCATGATACAATCCCGCTCATCGATGTAGTGGGTGAGATTGGCAAGTTTCGGCGAGAAAGGAAGGCCGCATACAACAATTTAGTGGAGATGGGCAAGGCTGAACCCGATGTAGAGGGGTACTGGCCTGGGGATATTACGGTTCTGAGGAAGCCGGTGAATTCAGAAGCTGGGGAACTCGACTGTTACGGCAACCGGTATGAGTTGGGTTGGTTCTACCGTTGAACGCGATAGCGTGGCGCAGCACTAGCACAGGATAACGCTTTTACATTCCGATGTCACCTAGTAGGATGATCGGCTATCATGGCACATGTTTGAGTGTATTAGAGACTGTTTTTCAGCCTTCTTGGAAGTATCTGGTCCTTCAGGGTGGATAACCAATTACCGACAAGCTTACTCACCGGTTTGGTGACCGGTTCCAAGGGTTGCAGTGGGCTGACCCCGCGCACAATGACACCCACATCAACATGCTTCTGCGCACTTGTGCAACTGCTCTCGAGTTCTCATTTACTTATGCAGTTCATGGGTACCAGAGCACCGCCCGCCACGACGTGACCGCAGACTTTATCCCAGTCTGGATGCACCGCCACGCAAAGGCTTCCTACGCTCATCCCAAGCACTGTGTTCCACTGATACTGGCTATCGAGCAGCATCGAAGTACTTTAAAAAACGCTCAACATCCTTATCCGGTCTCTTACGGCTTCTTCGTACACCAGATATAACCATGGGCCAGTCGTGGAGCGGTCAGCGAACGATTCAAGCAGCTTATGAGCGACGTGGAAAGGTAGTCGCCTTGAAGTCGAGACAGTCAAAACCTAATAAAAGTTACGACAGAGGCCATAGTTCCTCTTCTGACGCAGACTCGACCGGACAAAATCGGTATGGCCAGGCAACTTCCAACGGCGTGACAGCCAGACCTGGACGCGGAGACCGCAGGTCGGTCTCTTCGCATGTATCACATCCTACCCGGGTAATACCCATAGGCAAAGCCAAGAAAGAGCGTACATCAACATCCGACAAGCATCGACCCAAGAAAGCAGCTCCACACAAGCCAAATTCCAGCAACACCCACAGCAAAAAAGGCGAGAGCGGCAGTACAAGGCACAAGTCGCTCAACCGAGTAGACAGCCATCACCACCAAAACGATTCGCATCAACCCAAGAAAGAAAAGAAATATTGTACAGTATGCACAAATACGCTCTCACTGCACCACTTCCCCGACCGGCCGCCTACCAAGAACTGCAAGCACGAAGTCGACGTATGCCGAAAGTGTCTTCGCACATGGATCGCATCTGAGTCCAGCGCAAAACTGTGGAACGACATAACATGCCCTATATGTAAAACGCAACTGCGATCGGCTGATATGAGAGAGTTTGCACCGAAAGACATCTTCAAACGGTACGATTCCCTTTCCCTACTCCCTTTTCACACCCCACACATCCCCACCCAATCAAACACATCACTAACAGCACAACCAGCTACGCCGCCCTCTCCTCCCGCGCTAGGCAAGAAGCCCGCCTGGGCTTCCACTGGTGCCCCCTCAAAGGCTGCAAAGCAGGCCAAGTCCACTTACCCAACACCCCCAAATTCCGGTGCAACACCTGCGAAAAGACGTCCTGTGTCGTTCACAACGTGGCATGGCATAAAGGAGAGACATGCACAGAGTACGACTACAGAACAAACGGGAAGCTGAAAAAGGAAGAGGAGGAAGCGAGTAGGAAGGTGGTGGAGAAAACGAGCAAGGCGTGTCCGGGGTGTAAGAGGCCGATTGAGAAGAATAAGGGGTGCGATCATATGGAATGTACGTATATATTTCTCGTGGCAGGAGAAGATGTAGCGACTTCGAAATGTGACGGTAAAGCTGACCAATATGATAGGTGCGAAATGCCATGTCCACTTCTGCTGGAAGTGTATGAAGCCGTATTATGCGTCCAGCACACTTGCGCGGAACACAGGAAGCCACTGTGTTTGTCATGGAGGACTTAATGAGGGCTGATTTGCTATACTTGGCGGAAGCTGGAAAGACAGTAATTTACGAAGCCGAGAACAGGGAAAGAAAACTATTACACTCGATTCGCAACGTTTTACACAGTCAACTTCATCAGCAGCGCTGGTACCCCAGCACGCGCCATATACGCAGCAGTCACCCCCACAACGGATGTCAAGACCATGTACTTGAACCAACCGCCCTTCTTCCCTTTCTTCATCTCTTGCTTCTCCATCCAGTGCCACCCCTCAGCACTCTCGTCAATCGTCCTTGTCGGAGCGTAATCCAGTTTAGGCGCCACACTCAGCGATTCGATGAGCCCCGCTTTCTGAGACGGCACAATGTATTTGTGCAAATACCCAGCAAAGAAGTAATTGAAGCGTGACTGGTAGCTGTTCATGCGCGTGAGCTTGCCGCTGGTTTCGACGTATTCTTTTGCTCGTGCGTGGCGACCGGCTTGGTATTCGGCGAACAAGGCGGCGAGATCGGGGGTGGAGATGCGGCGGGTGGGGTTGGAGGCGAATTCGCGGTGCAGGATGTTGCAGAGGTGGACGGCGGACTCGACGGCTATGTTGGCGCCCATGCCGAGGTCGGCTGTCATCTGGTATTGTGTTAGTGATGCGTTCTGCTGGTGATGAGTCCGGGGCGGGTACTTTGTGTGCTGAATCTCCTACGAGAACTATGCGCCCGGCATGCCATTTACTCAGGACGCCTTCTTCGACGTAGAGAAGACCGTGCCGTTCGTTTGTCTTCCATATATCGCCCAGTGTGATGTTTTTTGTCATAGGAAGATCGGCGAATCTCTCCGCCACCGCCTCAATCTCTGCCTCAGTAGCTTTACCTTTCTGCTCTGCCTTTTGAAATTCGTCTTTGAAAGTGATACCCCACATAGCCCTTCCCATCTGCGAAAAGAGAAGCATGGTAACGTCTTGACCGAGAATCATATTCGTGTTGGAGGTGCCGAGTTGAGCATTGTTGGGTAGCGTACTGACGCCAAACAAACCTCTGTATTCTCCGAATGACATGACTTGTTTGTCGGTTTCGGGGATGCTGCCTGGTTCGAACTTGTCGGCGTGGTCCCACATGAGCTTCCGGACATGACTGTGCACACCGTCTGCGCCGATAACCATGTCTCCTTCTTCGATAGAGCCATCGGCTAGGTGGACACGAACACCCGTATCGGTTTGCTCGATACGTTCAAGGCGCCTACTGGTGTGGATTTTGGACTTGTCCGGTAGTCCCTCGTATAGGTGCGACACGCAAGTTTGGCGATCGAATAGGATACTCGGTATTTTGAAGCTTTCGTGAAGTCAGCGCATGATGCATCCACTTCAAACATATCTCGAGAGTATGTAAACATACAGTTTGCTCACAGCCTGCATAGTATCATCGCGACAGATCAGACTTCCGTCTGGCCATCGTTTGTAAGAGGCATCGACGGGCGACGTGGTTTTGGTGATTCTATCGAGAATACCAAATTGGTCGAAGATGCGTGCGACAGCCGGCCAGATAATCAGCGCTGCGCCTTTTAGTGAAACAATCTTGTCGTGCTTTTCGAGGACGACATGTTCGATATTGGCTAGTTGTAGAGCGTGTGAGAGCGACAAGCCGACAATACCGGCCCCAATAACAATGACCCGAAATGGCTTTGGGGATGTGGAATCTTCGTCTGCCATAATGAATTCTCCGATGCTGATGCAAGGGTTGCGCTGGGGAACACTCGGTCTTAGGTGCGAGGCCTAGAGCAAGGGATGGTCGTGACTCGAATCGCTGCCGGCTTTACTATTGTTCTTGGATGACGCCTGTTGGGCCATATAATTTAGCCTGCTACTTTATGAGCCGTGTTGTATCGATCTAAATGGTTATGATTTGCAAGTATCGGGTGGTGCCACAAGGGAGGCTTCCAATGTTGGTGCCTTATCTCAGTTTCGATGATGCTGACACGAGCGCCTCGGGCGTCTTCTTACTTTGTAGGCAAGCCATGTCATAGGGCTTGCGCAATGTATTCCATGAATTGAATGCAGTACAGTCAGATCAGTCGGAGTTGATCCAGGCGCTGTCAATCTGGTGGTGTGGAAGTGAGGATCTTGTTTGTACAGCGTCGCGCCTACATAGTCGATATGGAGACAGCCTTACGCGAGAGATGCGCGATGAGCATCGAGCTTGCTGCAGTGGAAGAACACCATATACCCCGTTCAAACGACGGTTGCAAAAGATCTGTACTCCTTTCCAATAATGGTACGATGCGCATTGTGAGTAGGCGTGGAAAGATCGGCAAAAGAATACTCCGGAACTTGTTGTTAACATCGTAGCCAGGGTGGTTTAGTGGATTGGTAGCACTGCTGACACCTTTAGGTGATGAAGTTGCCGAACAAGGCCGCAATGACTGTGTCCATGCAGGAACCAGCTCGCTTGTGACGTCGAAAACCTGGGGTAGTGGGATCTGCAGCCCTGGCCCGACACAAGATGTCGTGTGGAACTCAGATGTTCCCGGCTGCGCGACTCATGAAATGAAGTTGAATGCGAACCTAGTCTAGTGATGTGTGTGAATCGGTTTACATTTCCTTGTGCAGAAGGCGGCTCAGTAAACCTTCTAGATGGCTGAGTGAAATGGGAAGAACTCCGGTAGCACGTGAGCAGATCGAACTCGGGAAACAACTGTTGTGATAGTCACTAACGTCGGCAGAGACAATTTAATTGCCGAGCTTGGTAGTGACGGATCGGCCTTAAAACGACGCGGTAGGGTGCAGTGAACGGGAGCTGCGACGAACTGCCTAGGTAGCCCACATGTTGCTTGGCACACTAGCCGTGTTGGTCGACCCCAGCTCGCACCTCCAAGCAGGCGCATCACGGTATCGCGCCTGTCTCGCAGCCAACGCCCCTCCGCCCATCGCCCACCGCCGGCTCCCGAATCGATGAACACAGTGCACTCGATTTGCCGGGTGAATACGCGCTTGCCGTAGCTTGCACCTGACAGGACCGGCGCCGGCGCGTCATTTCGCGATCGCCCAACCTCACCCTTGCGGGTCTCTGGACACATCCGCACTTTCTACATGGCGCCTGTTCCTGACACACCACTACCACGCGTGAGAAGCACACGACCGCCCCGGCGACACATATCTGACTCAGCGCCAGCCAGCAAGCGGCGCAAGTACGTTCCAGGCGGACCAGGAGGCGGGGGACGATACGTGGATGACGAGGGGCTGGAGACGCCCGTAGGAGGAACTGGACCTGGAGGATACGCGTATACTGGTCCCCGTGGCCGCGTAGGACGCATCAACGCCGAGCGGCAGGGCCTGCCCATATCAGCGCCGTCACCCTCATACACCAGACCCCGACGCGAAAGGCCGCCAGCTGGACCGCGTTCCAGTTCGGCCGCCGCAGTCGCCGCCGCCGTGGCTCAAAACGATGGATACAAGCCGCGCGAGGAGCGGAGCTGGGATGAATTTCATCCGGAACTGGACATCGACGCCGAGTTCCCCGTCTTCAGCGCAGACCAGATAGATGGCATCAGCCCTGCAGACAGCGCCCCGGGGACTCCGCTCAATGGCTCATCGACGGGCCAGTACGCCGTCGACAGCGGTCTCTCCGCGGTTCTTGACGGCCTACGGACGCAACAAGCAGAGGATGTCGCGCAAGAGCAGGAGGACGCAAGCTTAGCCGTCAACGGCTCAGGCGCCTTCGTCACACCAAAGCGACGCCCAGGTCGACCGCCTCGCAACCGAGACTCTATGCTAGCTGGGCTCGGATCGCCGCCCCGGCCACGAGTCAACCCCCTTCCGACTATGAATCCGAGGGAAAAGCTGAATCTGCCCAAGCCATCAGTGCGTCAAGTCGACCCGTTCAAAGAACACGAAGAAAGCGAGGGCGTCAAAGTCAACTATGTCGACAAGACCATGGCGAACATCGGATACCAAGAGAGCGAGATCTTCACAAGGCCATCGGAAAACAGCCTCATTAGGCTACCAGAAGGCTCCATCGAAGAAGATCTGGATCTTACTCTGCAGACAGAGGCCGAAGGTACTGCAGGTGCAGTTGCTGTAGGTCGCGTCGAGTACGACATGGATGAGCAAGACGACCGGTGGCTGGAAGCACTCAACGTGCAGCGGAAAGAAGAGGGTGTCGAAGGTATCAAGCCTGCGATATTCGAAGTAACCATCACCCAGATCGAGAAGGAGTGGCACGCGCTGGAAAAGCGTAAGTTTTGTGGTGCTAAAACGAAGCGAACGTAACGGCTGACATGTGAAAGGCATACCCAAACCCAACCCGAAGCCACCTCAGACACATCGCCCACGCTCGAGCAGTGCAGCTGCTGTCAACGGAGAGCCTGCTGGCCAAGGCGAAGAGCAAGATACCAAGTGCGCCATCTGCGACGACGGCGACTGCGAGAACACAAATGCAATAGTATTCTGCGATGGTTGCGACTTAGCCGTCCACCAGGAGTGTTACGGCGTGCCTTTCATCCCAGAGGGACAATGGCTGTGCAGACGGTGTCAACTGGTCGGGCGCGGCACCCCTGTCAGCGAGCTTCCGGTATGACCTGTTCCTTGCTGCTTTACCAAATGCATGCTGACACTCACAGGGTTGCATATTCTGTCCGAATATAGACGGTGCATTCAAACAGACAACCACAATGAAGTGGGCACATCTGCTGTGCGCCATGTGGATACCAGAGGTATCACTGGGCAATGCGACATTTCAAGAGCCAGTGCAAGACGTTGAGAAAGTACCCAAGACTAGGTGGAAACTGGTAAGTGATCGAGATTCCTCATTGTTCGAGTAGCGCACTAATTGCTTTGTAGTCTTGCTATATCTGCAAACAGAAGATGGGCGCCTGTATACAATGCGGCCACAAGTCCTGTTTCGAAGCTTTCCACGTCACATGTGCACGGAGGGCTAGACTATGTCTGCGCATGAAGTCTTCGCAATCGTCGAACCCGCAGGATACGACTGTGCTGAAGGCCTATTGCGATCGACACACTCCGTCCGACTGGAAGCGTGAGTTTGATGTGGAGAGTGCAATCGCAGATGCGAAGGCCTTCTACCGCCACACCATGCGTCACATTCGCTGGCCGGACAGCCAAGCCTACGCGCTTTCCATTGGATCTTCGCACGCGATGCCTTCCATCGAAGGACCGGATGACGACACCCCTGGATCCAACAAGCGGAAACGTGGACAATCTACCAAGTCTTGGAGACTGCCATCTGGAGCTCCGGTTGTGCCCCAGGCTGTCTACCACAACGTTGAAAACACGCTGATCAAGTTTAATGTACGGAAGCGTAAGGAATTCGTGCAAGAAGCCTGCAAGTACTGGACGCTCAAGCGCGAGGCACGACGAGGCGCGGCCCTTCTCAAGCGTCTTCAGCTTCAAATGGAGGCTTTCTCTTCTATGGAGATCACTCGCCGCAACTTTGCAGGCATGGGAGCAGCTGGCAGGCCCCGACTCCAACGACGCATTGAGTTTGCAGAACGTCTTGAAGATGACATGGAGCAAATCCGTGTCCTCTGCGAGATGGTCAAACAGCGAGAAGCTGAGAAGCTCAAGGACGTCTTGATACTGCAGCAGATCGTCGATTGCATCTACTTCCCAATACCTCAGCTACTGCAGCCTATCCTGGTGCGAGCACAGACGTAAGCAATCCACCTCTAGATCTTGAATCCCTACTAACTTCGCATTAGACTTGATAGCAGAGGCTACTTCAGCGACGGATTCAACAAGCTTCAGACCAAGCTCGATGAGAAATACTATACTTCGGTGCAGACATTCAACGACGATGTGGCCGCGGTCTTGAGTGCTGAGCTTGGATCTGCCGCTGTCCCCAACGTTGGCGATGCTGAAGATCAGCTGAACAGGAGTGCGCACAGCAGTCTGAGCTCTGAGCAGAAGGAATTGAAGAAGGTCGTTAAGCGAATCACCAAAAGCCTACAACCTTACTTTGAGGACGCGATCCGCAAGGAGTCTGAGCTGGCTGGTCGGCCTTACGAAAAACTACCGGACCTGGAGACACTCCTCAACCAGAAGCTGCAACGCAGGCCGAGCGTCCTGTCTCACGACGAGACTGTGCGACAAACGACGGAAAGCGACCCGACAACTGTTGAGGAAGCTCAGGAAATTGCAGTTGATGGGGAAGAAGCTGCTGTGCTCACTCAGAAACCAGAGGAGATGCAGCTTGCGCCCACACCGGACGAGAACGCCGCAGACGCACATCACGCACACCATGCACATGACGAGGCGGCAGACGAGGCGGCCATCGCCATTCAACTTGGCCAAGATACTCTTCGCGTGTCCAGCAACCAGCCCGAGAACGCAGTGGTGGAAGCCCGTGTGGAGACCAACGGCCGACCCGAGCCTCTCACGCCCCCAAGATCCGAGAAGAACTTACTCAACACTCTGGGCAATGGCGGTGTTCCCTGGTACTTTGAGCACTTCGATGTGCATGGCACAACCGTATACGAAGAACGGTACACCGGTCGTGAGGTACTCCGAGACATGAGCGAGGAGCTTAGCGAGCTAGACGACGACGAACTCGACGGCCTGGCCGACTCTGATCCAGTTCGGCCCACAGACACGCCCGAGTCGAATGTCGCCGCAATCAAGAAAGCGGTGGCACGCAAGAGGCAGAAGAGATCGAGGGGATGGTAGATGATTGGGTTCACGTTTGTTTTATCCTTTTC